GGGGTGTGGGGACACGCAGAGGGACATGTTGGGTGACGTGGGACACATGGAGGGACACGGGGGACACGTGGAGGGACACAGGGGACACGCAGAGGGACACATGGAGGGCCCTGAGGACATTGTGGGGACACGCAGAGGGACATGAGGACATGGGGGACACACATGGTGTGATGTGGGGGACATGATGGAACAAGGGGGACATACAGACACAGGAACATTCGAAGTGACACAGGGACACGTGCGGAGTGGCACGGGGGGGACATGTGGAGTGAGGTGGGGATGTGGGGACACACGTGGAGGGCCATGGGGACACGCGGAGGGACACTGTGGGGCCACCAGGGGATGTGCAGGGACACAGGAGACACGGGAGGACAGAGGGGGACACGGGGTGGACACGAGGTGACACGGGTGCTCACCAGGAGGGACGTGGGGAGGACGTTGTCCTTGGGCCACCAGCGCCCAGTGTCCTTGGCCAGGAACATGGTGTCTGCAGGGACACCACCATCAGCTAGTGCTTCCAGTAGCTCCCAGTGCCCTCCCAGTAACACCCCCAGTAACACCCAGTGCTCTCCCAGGACCCCCTCCCGCTCAGGTGCTTCCAGTAACATCCCAGTGCTCCCGGTTTCCCCCAGTCGACCTTCCCAGTGCTCCCAGTAACTCTGCCCCAGGGCTCCTAGTGCTCCCAGTAACCCCCCTGCAGTATTCCCAGTAACACCCAGCAATCCCAATAACCTCCCAGCACTCCCAGTACACTCCTAGCACCCTGCTGTGTCCACTCTCCCAGTCGTCCCAGTCCTCCCAGTTCCCCTTTAGTGCTCCCAGTACCCTGCCAGTGCCCCTGTACGTTCACCCTCCCAGCCTCCCCAGCGCTCCCAGTCCCTCCCCAGTGCTCCCAGTCCCTATCTAGCACTCCCAGTTCTGCTCCCCAGACTCCCAGTACCCCCCTGGTGCCCCTCTGTGTCCACCCCAGGCCCCCCAGCCCCAGTCACCCCACAAGTGACACAGGAGTGGGGGACACATGGGGGGTCCCACTGGGCCCCCATGGCAGGGAGACACCCCCCCAAACATGGACTGGGAATGGGGGTTGAGCAGGGAGACCCCAAACTGGGAAAGAGGCTCCCAAACTGGGAACAGGGGATGGGGGTGTGACATGTAAGTAAGAACCACCCCCCTCGCCTCAAACTGGGAGTGGGGGAGGGGGAACCCCCCTCAAACTGGGAATGAGGGAGGGGATGTGTGGGCACCCCCCCCAAACTGGGACTAGGGGAGGGAGATAAACCCGCAAACTGGGAACGCTGGAACGCAAATCCCCCCTCCAAACTGGGAATAGCTGGAAAGGATTAAACCAGTCTAACTGGGAATGGAGAATTGCCCCCAAACTGGGAACGGAGGTAGGGAGAAGCACGCTAACTGGTGTTAGGGTGCAACACCCCTTTGGTTTTTGGGGTTCCCCCACAATCCTACCAGGGGGTCATTAAAGAAGCCAAAATGTGGGTGCTTTTTTGGGGGGGGTGGGAGACATTTAGCTCATGGGTAACTGGTGGGAGCCCCAGTTTGCCCCCAGTTCACCTCCCTGACCCCCCCCAACATCTATACAACCCCCCCAGCAACTTTCACCCAGCACTGGCTTCAAATCATCCTCCCTGGCGGTGAGATTAAACATTTTTAAGGTGTTTTTACTCACTTGCACATGACTCTGGGGACCTCGAGGTCCCTTTGGAGACCCTCAAGCTTCTCCTCTGGGGGTGAAACCAGGCGTTAAACTGCCTGAGAAGCAAAAAGGTGGGGCAGAGCAAGATGGGGGGTGGAGTGCAGGAGGTTTGGGGACTGCATGGGGGGCTGGGATGGGGTCACTGGGGCTGAAGGGGCTGGCTGGGCTCGGTTGAGAGCTAGCTCTGAGGGTGGGCAGTCGTTTCGGGGTGACACCAGGGCCAAGGTCTGGCTCACACCACAACCCAGGGCCAGGTTCCAGGCTCAGGCTACCCACAGCCAGCCCAAAGCCAGAGCCGGGGCTGAGCTCCAGCCCAAGGTGGGCAGCCCAGCCTTGGCCACAAGCTTCTGTCCAGGCCTTGCCCCAGCTCCAGCCCAAGGTGGGCAGCCCAGCCTTGGCCACAAGCTTCTGTCCAGGCCTTGCCCCAGCTCCAGCCCAAGGTGGGCAGCCCAGCCTTGGCCACAAGCTTCTGTCCAGGCCTTGCCCCAGCTCCAGCCCAGGGCCCCATCCAGGCCCAGCTCAAAGCCCAGCCCCAAGCCCAGGCCCCATCCAGGCCTTACCCCAAGCCCAATGCCACTGAATTTCACTGAATTTCACTGAATTTTAGAGTTGGAAGGGACCATAGAGATCATCTAGTCCAACTCCCCTGCTGAAGCAGGATTACCTAGAGCTAGAGCATGTTACTCAGGAGCATCCAGGCGGGTCTTGAAAATCTCCAAGGAAGGGGACCCCACACCCTCCCTGGGCAGCCTGTTCCAGGGCTCCGTCACCCTCACCGTGAAGAAGTTTCTCCTCATATTTGAGTGGAACCTCTTCTGTTCCAACTTGTGCCCGTTGCCCCTCGTCCTCTCACTGGGAACCGCTGAAAAGAGTCTGGCTCCCTCCTCCTTCAACCCACCCTTGAGATACTTGTAGGCATTGATAAGGTCTCCCCCCAGCCTTCTCTTCTCCAGACTAAAGAGTCCCAGCTCTCTCAGCCTCTCCTCATAAGGGAGGTGCTCCAATCCTTGAATCATCTTTATTGCCCTTCGCTGGACTCTTTCTAGTAGTTCCCTGTCCCTCTTGAACTGGGGAGCCCAGAACTGGACGCAGTACTCTAGTTGTGGCCACATCAAGGTCCAGCCCAGGGCCCCATCCAGGCCCAACCCCACGGCCAAGGCCAGATCCAGGCTGAAGTCCAACGCTGCAACCAGGCCCTGCCCAGGGCTCCATCCAGGCCCAGCCTGGGGTCTCATCCAGCCTCAACCCGAGGCCCCATCCAAGCCCGGCCCCACATCGGCCCCCTTAGAGCCCACTCCCCTGCCACCCCCGACACCCGGTCGTGCCCCTTAGCCCCGGGCAGACCCCGCCGGGGAGGAACCGCTTCCATCCTCCCCTCTGTGCCCTTCCCACCGCGGCCGAACCGGAGTGACTCCGGACCGGCTCCAGGCGCGCTGAGGTACTTGCAAACCTGATAGGTTTGCTGAGCTGTCGATCAGGCCCTTTTCCCCGCCTCTCCGGGGAACGCCGGCGCCGATTGGCTGAGATCAACGTCCATCTAGAAAGTCACCGCCTCCTCTGAGGTGAGTCGAGCGCTGGTTGATCTAGCGCCTCCCCGTCCTTTTGGCAACAAGACAACATTCGCCCTCCCAGCATGGAGGGGCAGGGCACTTGGAAGAAGCTGATTGGCTACACCTGCTGTCAATCCGCCCTCTCCAGGTGCCTATTGGCTTAACAAGGTTAAACCCCTTTAACCCCGCCTCCCTCGGGTGC